CTTGCCAACATAAGTATTTCCAATTGTGATGGGCAAAGTGACTCGTCCCAAATCACTTTCTTTCCTCGGGAGAGTACGTTGAATAATTGCGCTACAACTAGCATCCACCATGATCGTTTCTTGATCCGTATACCGCTTCTTCTTCGTGAGAATGTCCTTCATGAATTTAGTATACTTTGGCATTTGCTCAAATGCTTCGAAAAATGGAATATTAATTTGCAATTGTTTGAATATGTCCATAAATTAAGCATAGTGTCTAGCATTGTCTTTCCTTGTCGGAGCATGCGGGTAAGGAAAATTTTGAATCGGTATCGTGTTCACTTGCTCTTTTCCTTTTCTCGACTTTCTCACTCTTTCCTCTCTCTTGCTTTTCTCTCCTTCCTCATTTTTTTTTCACTTTCTTATTTTCAACTAAATCTCCCTCAACATTTTTTTCTACTTCTCCCTCAACATTTTCAATTTCTTTTCCAACTACAACTTCCTCCGCCACTACCTCCTCACCTACGCCCATATCAATTTCTCTACCACTTCTTGTAAGAATCACCTTGCAATGCTCCTTCGAATTTGAAGTAGTGGTAGCCGTGAAAGGCCCTTTTTGTTGATCGGCCAATTGTTTTGATAATTGGCCAACTTGAGTCTCCAAATTCTTGATAGCTGCATCGGTGTTCTTTTGATTTGACATTGACATTTGCATGAATTGAGTAAGATCTTCCTCCATCTTTGACGGTGCACTTTGAGTTTGTGGAGGTTGAGTGTAGTTTTGATATTGCTGACGGTTTGAAGTTTCGGCTTCTTGCGGCCTCCATGGTTATTGGTAACCTTGATTAGGTCTTTGATAACCTTGATTTGCTTGTCGATAAGGTGGTATTTGTTGGTATCCTTGATTTTGATTTCTGACATAATTGCCTTCTTCCAAAGCGGGAGGACAATATCCGGTAGGATGGTCACCTTTACACAATTCGCAACTCGCCACTTGAACTTGAGTAGGAACTTCTTGCATCTCTTTGATTTGTTGTGGAAGCTTTGACATTTGTTGAGTTAAAAGCTCCACTTGTTGCGTAAGAAGTTTGTTTTGGGCAATAATAGCGTCATTCGTACCTAACTCGAGCACGCCTGGTTTTCTTTGAGCTACCCCACGGTTATGATTCCCTTGGTGATCATTAAGTTCCATCTTGTCAATAATTGCAATTGCATCATCGGCGCTTTTAGACATCAAAGAACCTCCCGCCGTAACATCCAATAAGGTCTTGTGAACCGAGAGGAGACCATTGCGGAAAATATGAACTTGAGTAAGTTCATCAAAACCGTGTCCTTTACATTTTCTCAACATAGACTTGAATCTCTCCCAAGCTTCGTTGAGGGATTCACTTGCTCCTTGTGAAAACACAGCTATTGTAGTTTTAACTTCCATAAAACGGTTATGTGGAAAGAACCGTTCAAGAAACTTCTCTTCCAAAAGATTTCAATCTGTCATGATTGTTGTAGATTGATCAAGATACCATTCCTTCGCTTTCCCAATCAAGGAATGAGGAAATAGCCTCCTGAACAATCAGTTTTCGTCAGCTTCGGTTGCTCCCGTTGCACCCGCAATCTCATAGAATTTTGTAAGATGTATGAACGGATCCTCATGATCTAATCCCGAGAAAGTATTTTGATAAATAAGTGCAAGGATTCCCGTCTTTATCTCGGCTTGTCTTCCATTGTGGAGATTACGCGCGAACTGAGTGATGTGTCTTGGTCTGTTCGTACATGGAGTGGAAACTGGAGGTGGAGGTGGTGGTGTTGCTGCCATAATTGGTGAATTAGGTGGAGTGGATGAAGAAAATTCTCCGATCTCTTTTCTTTCAATAGCTTATTGTCGTCTTTGCCTTATGCGACTATTGGTACGTCGAGCGGTTCTCTCAATCTCAGGATCGAAAAGAAGTTTTTCTGGCCGAACCTGTCCGCGCATAAAAGAATTCTGCACACGAACTAAACAAATTAAAAAGCACAAAGAAATTACAAAGATAAGAGATTCACAATACAAAAATCTTAAAATCACTAAACTATTGTAATGCTTACAATATTCAACTAACAATCCCTGACAACGACGCTATTTTGTTAGAAATTATTATGCGGTAGTGTTTTATCGTATCCACATGGATTAAAGAGAATATAGATGCTTGCCATTCAACAGTTTAATGACTTAATAAAAAGGGGGTTTTTAGAATGGTTTCACTTTTCGTAACATAAGTTTGCAAGAAAGAAAACAGAATAAAAGTCGGTCTAAGTTTGATAAAAGCATGTCAAGATTAGGGTTCGCTAGTCCTTCCTAAACGTATCCAACCAATCAAATATATGAACGAAGTTCTAACCAACATAACCGCGTATCCTCGAATAAATGTTCATCTCTAAAGCGATTTCGTGAATGTTATTGTTTTAACCATTAAATGATCTCTCTAAATAACAATCGAAACAATAATCATTAAGATCGATACAACGCGAATATCAACTTTCAAATCTATGTCTAGAATTTGTATAGTTGATAGATGAAGATGTTAGGTCAAGACTTGGAAAGTTCATGTCTAAAGCAATCCAAACCATAAATGTACAAATAGTAGCAAATAACTTCATCTACATTGATCATAACATTGTTCACATACAAGAGATTAAGAAGAATACATAAAATCTGAACTAACTACTCCTAACCTTGACAATAGAGGGATTTAGCCACTCATTTCCATGATAGCTTGAGCAACAAGTTTCGGAAGAAGGTTGATCAACATCCGAGTTGAATAATCGAGAATGGATGGGAATTCACCTTCTTTTGGTGAAATATTGCAAAGAGATGATGAGAAATGAAAGAATGGTTTTCTAGGTCAGAAAAATCCTCTCCAATGCAAATACAAAATAATAGATATTTTTACAAAAAGTAGCCCATGCTACTTATAGAAGGGTCAACTAAGTTGTCATGTTCGCTAGACGAACCCCAAAAGTGCCATCTGAAGTGCCTATGCCCTGTGAACTCTCCCTAGATAAGTTTCCAAAAGTTCGCTAGGCGAGTAATCCTTCGCCTAGCGAGTTTATGGCCCTTTCCTGGCTATTTTAAGTCTAGGAGTGTCCGCTGGTTACTCGCTGCCTCCCTCGCCTAGCGAGTTTATGGCCCTTTCCTTACTGTTTTGGATTCTTGGCCTTTGCTACATAGTTCGTCTAGCGAACTTTGTGAAGTTTTGGAGGGAGCTTCGCTGTCCAGTTCGCCTAGCGAACTTGCTGATGGTTGCTTGCTGTCTTGACTTCCTTGCTATCTTTCTTGTGTTTTAGTTCTCACTAATTTATGTCAAATTCCTGCACAATAACACACAAATTAAAGGTACCAAAATACTTTCGCACAAAGTTGCAAACCAACCAAAGCAAGAGTGATTTTGAACACTTTCTTGACAAAAAAGGAGTGAAAGATACCCATATTTGATAGCTAAAATAAGCACAATTGAACATCTAACAAAGAGTTGATGAAGAAGGAATTTTAAATTCCAGATCTGGGAAAGATGTCATACTTTCTAGGCATGGAAATTCAAACTCCGAAGCAAGGTATGATGTTACATCAAAGAGAGTATGTTAAGGAGATACTCAAGAGATTCAGAATGGATGATTCGACTCCTGCATCTTCGCTTGTCGAACCAAATTTGAAATTGAAAAAGTATGGAGAGGAATACAAAGTCGATGCAACTTTGTTCAAACAAATTGTTTGATCTCTGAGATATGTGTGCAACATTCGACCTCTTTTCATTCGGATTAGTAAGCAGATATATGATTGAACCAAGGGTGTCACAAATGAAGGTTGCAAGAAGAATTCTGAGATACTTAAAAGGATCTTTAAACTATGGAATTTTATTTTGACGAGACTCTGAAAGAAAATAACATATGGTTACTTGCTATTCAGCTGCTAATTGGTGTGGAGATAAGGAAGATCAAAAAAGCACTACTGAATATTTCTTTCAAGTATTTGGTGCCCCAATCTCATGATGCTCGAGAAAGCAACCTGTGGTGGCAGTGTCATCGTGTGTGGCTGAATATATAGCAGAATCATATGTTGCGTGTAAAGCAATTTGGATCACATCTGTGCTGAAAGAGATCGAGGTCAAAGTGAAGAAATCTCTGGTGTTGCAGATGGACAACAAGTCAGCTATAAATCTTACGAAGAATCTAGTTTCGCATGAAAGGAGTAAGCACATCGAAGTTAGATTTCATTATCTTAGAGAAAAGGTAAATCGAGGTGAACTTGAAGTGAGACATTGCTCAAATGAAACACAGTATGCCGAAATTTTCGCCAAAGGATTGAATATCGATAGGTTTCTAACTTTGAGAAAGAAATTACGTATAGTTAAAATAAAAAATGATTAGTGTGTTTCGATAACTTGGATTATAGAGGGTATGTTAAAATATTAGATATAGTCCAAGTTGAGTTATGTGGTACAAACCCAAAGTTAATTAGGGTTTAGGGTTTATTACTTACTACTTTATTTAGAAGACAAGTTAGTTGTATATAAATACATAATTTGTAATTCAATTTTATTATAATTCAATTCAATAATACAATTTTTATTATTTTATTCTCTCTTTCTTTTCTCATTAAAAATGTCTCACACACTAACAATTCTATAATAAAAATAAATGAATTTATGTTGTTACCGAAAAAGACGAATTTATGCATCATGTCTATCTTTATGAATTCGTAGTGGTAAATATTTATAAACAAATGGCTCATGGAGAAATGAGCGTGGTAGGTTCAATGAAAAACATATAGTATTCTCATGTTTAGTGCAAGGAACAAATCGGTATCATTATATTGTATTCTCCTTTAGAATAGGAACTTTATGTTAATATTGTATTCATTTTATATTAGTTTTGTAATATTGTACTACTTTACATGACTGCATTGTCTTGAAAATGCAACGACCATTTATTGAGTCTTTTATCTGAATACCTTCATCTTAGCATTCTTCTTCCGTTGCTCTACAATCATGGAGCTTCACAACACTTTGTCTAGCTTTACCATAATGGCATCCTTTCTCTTCCTCTTGCTACTATTCAAAATAGTCCAAAGATGGAATAATTCAAAAAATTCTTACCCTAATTTACCTCCAGGACCATGAAGATTACCCTTCATAGGGAATATACATCAGATTATTAGCAGCCCATTGCCTCATCATTCCTTTAAAACTATGGCACAAAAGTATGGTCCTTTGATGTACCTAAAACTTGGTGAGGTATCATACATAATAGTTAGTTCACCAGAAATGGCCAAAGAGATTATGAAAACACATGACCTAAACTTTTGTGATAGGCCAAACCTTATGCTGTCCACAATATATAGTTACAATAATACTGATATTTTATTCTCTATATAGCAATGGAGGCAACTACGGAAGATATGCATTATAGAGCTATTGAGTGTAAAGCGTGTCCAGTCATTTGGGTCCATAAGAGAAGAAGAGGTCTCAGATCTGTTAGATCAATTTCTTCAAATGAAGGATCAATCGTTAATCTCAATCATCAAATCTTTTCAATGACATATGGGATAGCCGCGCGGGCAGCATTAGCGAAAAGGAGCAAACACCAACAAGTATTCAGATTATTAAGTAATGAAATGATAGATATGCTACGAGGAATTTATATTGTTGATTTGTATCCTTCTATTAAAATTCTTCAAAGGATGAGTAGGGCGAAGACATCATCAACGATCACCGAAGCATTCACAAAGAAGCAGGCAAAGATGAAGGTCTAGTTGACGCCCTTATCAAGATTCAACAGGAAAATGATCAATCACAACATCAATTAACTGACGACAATGTCAAATCAATCGTCCAGGTTAGTCTACAACCAAAATTTATTTTGTTTTAAGGAATAGATAGTTTTAATGTTAAACCATTTGTATGTAGGACATGTTTGCTGCTGGTACTGAAACATCCTCAGGGGTTTTATGGGAAATGGTTGAGTTAGTAAAGAATCCAAAGGTAATGGAAGAAGTACAAGCTGAAGTAAGATAAGTGTTTGATAAGAAAGGGGTTGTAGATGAATCAGAGTTGCACCAGTTGATATACTTAAAGTGTGTCATCAAAGAATCACTAAAATTGCATTCTAATGCGCCATTGTTAGCTCAAAGAGAATGTAGAGAGAGATGTCAAATAAATGGGTATGATATCCCAACTAAGACAAGGGTCGTGGTCAATGCTTGGGCTATTGGAAGAGATCCAACGTATTGGGTTGAAGCTGGGACTTTTAAACTGGAGGGGTTTCTTGATAGCCCAATTGATTTCAAAGGCACAGACTTGAGTTCATACCGTTTGGTGCTGGAAGGAGCATGTGTCCAGGAATAGCATTTGCCTTACCTAACGTTGAGCTACCTCTTGCTCAATTTCTTTACCACTTTGATTGGAATGTTCCCAATGAAATGAAAAATGAAGATCTTGATATGACTGAGTCATTTGGAATAACTGTCGGAAGAAAACATTATTTGTGCTTAATTCCTACCACTCCTCATCTTTGATTTAATTTTTGTTTGTATTACTTTTAACAATAGCATTTGGAGGGAAGGAAATAACATTTATCTTTCCCAAGGAGTATGATAATCCTTACAAATTGGTTTATGCGTGTTTGTATTGTACAATGATGTGTTAAATTCCAACTTTAAACTTTTGCATTGTGGTTGTACAATGTTAGAATCCAATTCTAACTCAATGCTACTATTGGTTTTATAATAATGAAATTACTTAGAAATGTTAAAATTGACATTTTATAATTAGAAGATTCTCACTTTGATAATTAATTTTAAAAACAAATGTCGGATGAATGAAGAAACATTTTAGTCCTAATCTATAAGAATAAGGAGGATATAAAAAATTCTGCAAATTATAGGGGGGTCAAACTTATGAGTCATACTATGAGTTATGGAAAAGAGTCATTGAGTGAAGGCTAAAAAAAGAGACTTAAGTCATTGAGAATCAATTTGGTTTTATTTCTAGGAGATCCACCATGGAAGTGATTATCTACTATGACAAGTGGTGGAGCAATATCAGAAGGACCAACAAGACTTGCACTTAATTTTTTCTTACTCAGAGAAGGCGTATGATAGAGTGCCTAGAGATTTTTTATGGAAATCCCTGTCATATCCTTATTTTCACCTTAGTTTTCTTATCATATCATCTCATTAGCATATCATTTGATCCTTGGTTCCCAAACATGGTTGGCTACAAGTTTGAGTGAGAGGGTTGAGGATTAGGGTTTCTTTTTATTGCCCCCTTGAGGCTTCACCTTTTGCCTTGTATCCATAGTTATTGTTTCATGTTTATTTCCTTTGTGAATTAGAGTTTGATACTTGTTACATATCATCTAACCAACATACAAAGAGATGTGTTACTTGCTTTATTCTTCTTTGTATTCATCTAAGTGTGCAGGATTGGATTGAGAAGCTCTTGGTTTCAAATCAAGGCAAGGGGGAATCTAAGAGCTATGGTACTTAAATAAAGGCTCGTGATCTAGAAATGTTCACTATGGCATGACAAGTCTCATGTTGGTCAAGAATTATTCAATGTTGATTCATAGATTCAAGAATGGTTCATGTGTTTATTTTCATTTCATTTCACCCAATTTTCAAGTTATCCTCATGGTTATTCAAGCTTCATTCAACAATTCTTCATTTGGTATTCACATGATCATTATTGTGCCTTTGAATTCAAGATCATATCAAAAATCACAAGTTGGTGAATGGTTGTGTGGCCTAAAATTCAAGTATGGTACACCACTTGGTCCAAACACCATAACTTTCTTATTTCTCAACTTTTTTGAAATCCATTTTGACCTAAATGTCACAAATGAATCCTTCTACAACTTTGCTTCAAGGCTCAACCATCAATTCTATTAGAACAAGATTTGTTCATGACATATATTCCTTGGATTTTGATGATAATAAAATATTAAAAGAACAATGGTGTTATATAATGCACGTTTCAAGTATGCAGGTTTTAATACTTAAAGTTATATATTCAGAATCTAATACATAAAGATGCACTTGAGAGAAGCTAAATTACTAGCTTTGGCGGTGCAGAATTTGAAGAACACTATCTAAGTGATGTCTGGCATAGAATCTGAAGCTGAAGACCTCAACATCAGAAGAAGCAACATATTATCTCTACACTTGGTGAATGTAATTAGCTTCAGGTGATCATTCAAAACTAGTGATAAAGCTAAAGCTACCGGTACCACAAAAAGAAGTTGCATTGTCAAATCAGTTTGTCAGCTAGAGTCTAAGTTCACAAGGCTCATGAAGAGTAGACATGCTTTACGAATATCTACTCTCAACAGCTCTATAGGACAAGAATACATGGAAGACACAGTGGTGAAACATGTTATATAAGCTACTGAAGATTCAAACTGAAGTTTTCGAACAAGGGAGAAATCAAAAGGAAAAATATAGAAGGAAAGCCAAGAAGGATAGAATTGTTCTAGACTTCTGTCTAGATGGAGGAATAACAAGATCATACAATGAGTAATACAATCGAATATGCAGATTTTCTATTATATGTTGTAAATTGTAATAAGCCTTGAGATTTCTTAAACATTGAATATCTTAGAAATCTTAAGTGCTTAGAGGTCTTTGTTAAGGTGATTACCCTGTACCTCTGATAATTGTATCAAGTACACCTTGTTCCCTATTTTACTGAACATGTTGTTTAGCAGTTTAAATAAGATCTCTTGCTATGTGCTTTAGCAGCAAAGTCTCTTGCCGAGAAGCTTGAGCCAAATAAGTCTAATGATATGTGATAGAGCATTGAAAGTCTTAATCAATTGTTGATTGAGCAGAAGTCTTGAATCTGTGGGATTTAAGCAAGGAAGTCATGGACTGTGTGTCTTGAGCAAGGAAGTCTTCGGCCTGAGGGGCTTAGGCATAAGTCTTGGGTTCGTGTAACCTGAGCAAGTAAGTCTTGAGTTCGTGGAACTTGAGTAAAGAAGTCTTGGGCCTGGGGGGCTTGAGCAAAAGCCTTGGATTCATGGAATATGAGCAGGGAAGTCTTGGACCGAGGGTCTGAGCAGAAGTCTTGAGTCTGATGGACTTAAGCAGGGAAGTCTTGGGTTCGTGGAAAAGTTTGACCTAGAACTTGAACAAATGGATGTGAAGACAATATTCTTGTATGGTGATCTAGATGAAACAATCCTGATGAGGAAACTCTTAGGGTATGCAGAAAAGGGAAAGGAAGAGTATGTGTGTAAGCTGAATAGGTCTTTGTATGATCTGAAACATTCTACTAGACAATGGAATAGTAGATTCGAAAATTTTGATGAACATATAGGTTTCACTACGAGCCGGTTCGACCACTTTGTTTACTTCAAATTTTGACCTAGAAATTGACTTGTTATTTTGTTGCTTTATGTGGATGACATCCTTATAGAAAACAACAATGTCAAAGATGTTATGAAGATAAAGGTTGAACTCGATAAGAAGTTCGGCGTGAAGGATCTGGGAATTGCGTCCAGGATTCTTTGAATTGACATTCAGAGAGATAGAAAGTAGTCAAGATTATACTTATCTCAAGAGACATACCTAAATAAGATTCTCAACAAGTTTGGTATGTTAAATTCAAAGCTTGTTCTTACACCAACTAATCCTCAGTTCAAGCTGAGTATGACTCAAAGTCCTAGCACTGAAGTCAAAAGAGCCTATATGAATAGCATTCCATATGCTAGTATAGTAGGTTCTTTAATGTATGTTAAGGTTTGTACGAGGAAAAACATAGTGCATGGAGTGAGCCTTGTAAGTATATATATGGCCAATCTTGGAAAGTCGCACTTGAAAGCATTAAAGTGGATTTTAAGGTACATAAATCGGCCTTTGAGCAAAATACGGATTTATGGTGGATCCTACGGTAATGATAACAAAGTCGAAATCGAAGGATTTGTCGACTCTAATTATGCAGGTTGTATAAATTCCAAAAAATCTATTTCTGGATATATGTTCACTATATTTAGCATAACAATCAGTTGGAAATCAACATTACAGAGGATTGTTTCCTTATCAACCACGGAAGAGGAATATATTTCCCTCATTGAATCTATGAAAGAAGCATTATGGCTTGAAGGTTTTTCTAAAGAGCTAAAACTTCAAGGTTGAGTTATCACTGTTAAATATAATAGTCAAAGTGAAATACACTTGTTGAAGAATTCAGCCTATCATGAGCGAACCAAGCACATCGATGTGAGACTGCATTTCGTCAGAGAGATAATCGAACGTGGAGAAGTCTATGTTCTGAAGGTTTTGACTGATGACAGTGTTGCTGATATATTCACCAAGACATTGCCAAGTTGCAAGTTTTTCCAATGTATGCATGTCATACCCTAATTTTGTCCTCCCTTTTTATTTTCTTGTCCCAAGTTTGCATTGCTTATAGTTTTTCTCTAGAGTGATCATTTGGCCTTTGGCCATGATCCTCTAGGATTAGATCTTGAAATCTTGTTTATGCTTGCTTTGGTCATGATCAGAGTTCAGAATCTAAACTGGTGCTTAGATTTTGGTTATACTTAGCAGCGAAATGTTAACAGAAGTAAATAAATAATAGGATAAGACACAAATATTTTTATTGGTTCCTTATAAATGAGAGTAGTCCAGTCCCCTATCTTCACAAGAGATTTTAACTATAATCAAAACATGATTACAATCACTTATGCATTTTGCATAAAACTTTTACAATGCTCAGACCCTAAGTCCAATACTTTTTTCTTAAACCACTAAGGCTTAATATTTCCTTGCTCAAGTCCTACAGACTCAAGACTTCCTTGCTTAGACCTTCTGCCTAAGACTTTCCTACTCAAGTCCCTCAAACCCGAGACTTCCTGCTCAAGCCCCTCGGGCCCAATACTTCTTGTTTAAACCCCTTAGGTTCAAGACTTCCTGCTCATACCGCAGCCTAAGACTTTCCTGCTCAAGCCCCTTTGGTCCAAGACATCCTACTTAAACCCCTCAGGTTCAAGACTTCTTCTCAGACCCTCGATCCAAGGCTTCCTTGCTCAGGTTCCACGAACCTAAGAATTTATGCTCAATCAATCCACCTAATTATGTATTTCATTACTCTAGCACATATCAAGAGACTTACATGACTCAAACATCTTGGCGAGAGACTTGGTTTCTCAATCAATCCACTTGATTAAGACTTTTAATGCTCTAGCACATAGAAGGAGACTTAAATGGCTCAAGCATCTTGGCGAGAGACTAAGTTGCTCAGTCAATCCACTTGATTGAAACTTTAAATTCTCTTGAACATATCAGGAGACTTACATGGCTCAAGCATCTTGGCGAGAGACTTAATCAAAATTGATAAACAACATGTTCAACATAATAGAGAACAAGGTGCACTTGATACAAATATTAGAGGTACAGGGAAATCACCATAACAAAGACCTAAAGCTATTAAGATTCCTAAGATATTCAATGTTTAAGAAATATTAAGGCTTTTACAATTACAACCTACAACAGAAATTCTACATAACCAATTGTGTTGATAATTGTTGATCTTGATACTCGTCCATCATGTTGATCCTTGTCAAAAATTCAGTTTGCACCTTCGGCTACATATATAGCATTTGTAGAAGACTGGCCAATGGAGAGATAACTTAATCAAGTGTCTTTGCTTTCTGCATAGTAAAAGAGACGTTAAAGATAGATACACAAAAAGATCTTGATCCATTGTGTACTGTGTTTAACCATTGAGTCTTCAAAGAGATCCTATACTATAAATCCAGTGAGAGTAGATATCCGTAAAGCATGTCAACCTTTCTTGAACCTTGTGAACTAAGACTCTAGCTGACAAACTGATTTGACAATGCATCTTGCTTTCTGCAACACAGATAGCTTCAACTTTATCACTAACTTTGAATGATCACCAGAAGCCAATTTGCATTGACCAAGTGTAGAGACAATTATGTTGTTTCTTCTGATACTGAGACCATCAGCTTTAGAGTTTACGACAGACATCACTTAGAGAATGTTCTTCAAATTCTACATCACCAGAAGTTAGCAATTCAGATTCTCTCAAGTGTGCCATTGTATATCAGATTCAGAATATATATCTATAAGTATTAAAACTTGCATACATGAAACACACATCAAATATTATAAGCATTATTCTTTTAATACTTTGTTATCATCAAAATCCAAGAAATATATGTCATGAACAAATCTTGTTCTAACATTGTAATCCACACTTGAGGGACTTTACTCAAACATTAAATTTGAGAGGTCAAGTCAATATAAACTTAGAAATTAATGGACAAACTGCCAAACGACATGAACATACTCAATAAAACACTTGAATTACTTGTTTCTAAACAAAATATAGAGGGGGCGTGACACAATGACCAAATTGAACTCGCCCTATAAGCTCTACCTGAGAGTTTCTCCCTTCAAACTTCACCTAGGGAGCTCGACTACCTAAGTCTCACCCAAAAAGTTGTCTAACCAAGGCCAACCTAAAAGGGTTTCATTATCACCTTAAGAGGCGTCTCGGTATAAACTTAATAAGGTAATAATTAAGGGCGTTCTAGGAGTTAACCATTCTTCTTTGCTATTAGTGATCAAACAAACTTAAAAGGATTTAAATATCTAGTTGCAGAGCGTTGCCAATCCCAAGGTGCAGACAATTAGTAGAACACAACCTTCATGTTTGATAAATGTTTGACTTCAGGGTTTGTGCTTAAGAGACTTTTACAAAGTGTTATATGAGGAAAACTCTCCCAGTTCTCGCGCCTGAGGGACTCTTTCCTGAAAAGAGTTAAAATAATCATTACATGATCTCTGTTTAAAACTGTTGAAACACTTCGTTTTTTTCAAAACCTCGTGCTTGAGAAACTGTGAACTACTAATATAATTTTACTGGATCCAATAGAAAATATCGTGAGTAGCACAAGCAAAAACAACTACACCAACACTAGGGTACTTGCCCAGAAGTGTGCTAGTAGCCGCCCGTGCCAATGGGCATTCGAAGCACCTCAATGATAGTCGTCGTATTTGGTATGGGCTTACCAGCTCCGACCCAGCAGTTTCTAAAATTAAAAAACTCATAACAAAATGATAAAGTTCTTGCCTCATGTATAACTTCATGAAATCTCTTTATATTTATTAAAAAAGTATAAAGCGTGGTTAGTGCGGTCAGTGTATATTTTTATGTTGATATTTGATTGACTTTTATATTATATTTTGTATTATTGTCTTGAAAATTCAATGCCTATTTGATGCGACTCTTTTGTTCAGATACCTTCATCTAGGCTTTCTTCTCCCGTTGCTCCACAATCATGGAGCTTCACAACAATTTTTCTATCTTTACCTTAATGGCATCCTTTCTCTTCCTCTTGCTACTATTCAAGATAGTTAAAACATGGAGTACTTCTAAAAATTCTAAAGCCAATTTACCACCAGGACCATGGACACTGCCCTTCATAGGGAACATACATCAAATTATTACCAGCTCATTGCCTCATCGTTCCTTGAAAACTTTGGCACAAAAATATGGACCTTTGATGTACCTTAAACTTGGTGAGGTACCATACATAATAGTTAGTTCACCAGAAATGGCGAAAGAGATTCTAAAAACTCACGACTTCAACTTTTGTGATAGGCCAAACCTTATGTTGTCCACAATATTTAGTTACAAAAATACTGATATCATATTCTCTGTATATGGAGAACACTGGAGGCAACTACGAAAGATATGCGTTATAGAGCTATTGAGTGTAAAGCGTGTCCAGTCATTTAGGTCCATAAGGGAACAAGAGGTGGATGATCTTGTTAAATCAATAGCTGCAAGTGAAGGATCGATTGTTAATCTTTCTCTTAAGATTTTTGATATGACGCATGGGATAGTGGCGAGGGCGGCGTTTGGAAAAAGGAGTAAACACCAACAAGTATTCAGATCAGCAATTGATGAAATATCAGATTTACTCGGAGGATTTTGTATTGCTGATTTGTATCCATCTATTAATATGCTTCAAAGGATGACTATGGCCAAGAAAAAATTTGAAAAACTTCACAGAGAGATTGATATGATAATACAAGATATCCTCGACGATCACAGAAGCATTCATAGGGAAGTTAGCAAGGATGAAGATATAGTTGATGCTCTTCTCAAGATTCAACAGGAAAATGAACAATCAGAACATCCCGTGACTGACATAAACATGAAATCAATCATCCTGGTTAGATTACAATTACAATTAACTGTGTTAACACGTTCATTCCACAATTTAAAGACTACTTTATAAATATGCATGTTTGCAGGACATGTTTGCTGCTGGTACTGAAACATCATCAGAGGTTACATTATGGTGTATGTCTGAGATAGTAAAGAATCCAAAGGTAATGGAAGAAGCGCAAGCTGAAGTAAGAAGAGTGTTTGATAAGAAAGGGGGTGTAGATGAGACAGATATGCATGAACTGATATACTTAAAGTGTGTCATCAAAGAGACACTAAGGCTTCATCCTATTGTACCAATGTTGGTTCCAAGAGAAAATAGGGAGAAATGCCAAATAAATGGGTATGATATCCCAGCTAAAACAAGGGTCATGGTCAATGCTTGGGCTATTGGAAGAGATTCAAGGTATTGGGTTGAAGCTGAGAGTTTTAAACCTGAGAGATTTCTTAATAGCCCAATTGATTTCAAAGGTGCAGACTTTGAATTCATACCATTTGGTGGTGGAAGGAGAATGTGTCCAGGAATAGCATTTGGCTTACCTAACGTTGAGCTACCTCTTGCTCAATTGCTTTACCACTTTGATTGGAAGGTTCCCAATGAAATGAAAAATGAAGAACTTGATATGACTGAATCATTTGGAATAACTGTCAGAAGAAAACACGACCTATGCTTAATTCCTATTATTCGTTGTCTTTGATATGTATTTATTGCTTAAGCAAACAAAGTTCACCAAGTATTTATGTTAAAGCTTGAACGCTATTGAAGTATGAGACTTTATCAAAGAAAAATGTTTTAACTTAATTGTCTACATCCCTTTTGTTTGCTCTCCCAAGAAGTCTGCTGCACCGGAGGCTTCAGATTAGATCGGATTGTTAGTTGGTTGGTTATTTCTCTTTTCTTGCTGTTTTTGTTGTTTCACTCTTTGGTTTGTTATCTCGGCCCGAACTTTTGTCGGATGTGTTGTTCTTACGCACTCATTCCTTGTGCCATTTGTTCCTTATATATTTCTAATAAATAAAAAAAATTAAGTTGAATCCCTCTTTTATATATATATATATATATATATATATATATATATATATATATATATATATATATATATATATATATATATATATATATATATATATATATATATATATATATATATATATATATATATATATATATATATATATATATATATATATATATATATATATATATATATATATATATATATATATATATATATATATATATATATATATATATATATATATATATATATATAAAGAGGATGGTAAAGTAATCAATTTCACAACTTGAGAAAGTAACAAGTTAGTGATATAGCTCTTGTTTTGGGATATGTCCAATAAAAGAAAATCACATTGCTTCAAGTCTAAAACATTTCAACAAATTCTCATATATAAAGAATTTCTTGTAAAAAAAAAAGATATGATTCAAATCTACTCTCACTCACATATTATTCATTGTTTGTTAATGAATTTGTATGTTGAAATACTAACTTATTGGTTAGTCTCACCGTCACTGTACTGAAAGTTCAAATCCAGTGCAACCAAACATTACATCATCACCTATTATTTCTAGTTCTTAAAAAAAAACAATAATAAATTTTCAAAACTAGAACCATCTGATTCAAGTCACAATTGATATAACAGCGACACTAATATGAATAGAACAATTCTCATTAATTTTTCCTAAAACACCTCATATCTTTACAATTTAGGATATCTCCAATCTTTGAGGTCGGTTTTATCATCACTACTACGAAAACCACATTTCACCTCAATTGAAAAATGACTTTCACTTTGGTTGAGTATTCAAGGTAATGTAGGGTGTCACGGAAAGTTTGCTACTTTTCTCTTTGAGCCACTGGCCGAGGTTAAAAAATTAGAAAGCACACCAATTTCCCCCTAGGTTGGACATGTCAACTGAGGTGAAACGTGTGGTAATGGGTTTGATTTCTGGAAACAACATTTTTGCATTTTCAAAATGGCTCGTTGACTAACTTTTCCCTTTGGTTGTGTTTACTGGGAAAATTAGTAAACAACTGCTGGTTTTTCCAATTAAAAAAGAATTGGGTTACGTATATGATCAACCACACAAATTCTAAGACATGCTAGTAATTTTTAATTTAAAATTTGTGAAATAATTAAGACTTCAATATTATACATGATCTAACAACTATAAACTTTGAAATTTAAAGAAAGTAAAGTGTAGAAACTTAATCAAAGACAATTAAATACATTGAAAAATAACTTGAATAATAATAAGATAGACTTTGTGGTAAAAAGATGAAATTTGCATTAAAATGTAAAAGTATGGTGTAATCAAACGTACATTTTCTCCGACACTCTTTTTCTCTACACGCGAATACTTTGAGCAAGTTCAGAAACTTTGTACAAATTTGGAACACACCGATCCTAGTACTAAGACCTTCTATTTATAATGATAAAAAATAACTGACCCTAACGGTCTTCCTACAAACAAATGACAAGTGGCGCTCGGCATGTCTCCTTTCCTTAGAAAAGATCCACGTGTCTTTCTTCACAAATCTGGATAAGAACAAAAGTTCCCTGCTTTATTTGAATTCAAATCACACGTCGAAACAACATCATCATCTTCTGCCAAACCACCTTCTAAAATTTAAAATATTTTTCTTCACGTCTCATTCAGCATATCCTCCTCGCACAGAAGTGCAATTTTGACCAAACAAACAAGTCTTATAACCCTGTCGAAACCCTATCATGATTTCACATAATTCTCTTTATTATGTTATAATTTAAAACTATGAGTCGAATTTGGGAGCTAACAAATTGCCCCCCAAAAATGTCATTTTCGATAGCTGAAGAAAAAGATATTTTTTGATGACTTTATTCAACGCCTTGATTGATCCATGTGTGATTCGACATATCTGATGAGTCACTGATATAAACGCTTTAGCTTCTATAGCACGCCTATGACGTCATGGTCATGATTACCTTTTCTAAAACATTCCTCCACCCTCATATGAGAATCTTTGCCATCATCACGTATCCTAGACCCTAGGAGATCATGGGCTAGGCATTAACTGACACCGCTTCATAAGGATAGAGGATAGAACACGTGTCTCACTCCCATTTTAACCATAAATGCTGCTCCAGAACTGCTTCCGCTTCCACCCTTATAAATACCCCTTTTCATTTCTTTTCGTATTTTTACACTTTTTAAATCCCTAAACTCACAATCTTCTTCTCCTCCAAACAACTCAATTTACTCCATTCTAACAATGGCTTCCTCAACTCATTCCAATAAAGATGTCACCAAAGCCCCCAAAGAATTTGCTAAACCCGGGAAGGCTCCTAAAAAGATTTCTCAACTTCCTTTATTTGACACCATGAACGGTCCAACTATGGTGGGAAATCAACAGTACCTACCTGAACCACTTACTGAAGAGAAAATAAAAATTTATGAATCCCATGTACTTATTCATCTTTCTGTTGTTGGTAAGCCATTGGCTTTATTTGGTCATTTATCTAATGTAGACGCTGATCCTAGTAAATTTAAGGACTTCTTCCCACCTTACCATAGGTACATACCCATAGGTCATGCTAAAAATACCTAGTACTAGCAATGAGGACACTAATCCTGCCAACCAAGGTACTTCTTCGACTGAAGAAGTCATTGATCTTAGGTATATGAACAACTTTAAAGTATTTCGGGCAAGCCCCTCCTTTAAGGATCCTTCTGATTATTTAAGTTAGCTAGAAAAATTAGAGAAAACAAAATCTCAAACTTGGAAAGACATGGTTATTTATGATTTAATCATGTTGCCGAAAGTAGGTCTAGACTATTGCTTAAACATGCTTATCTCTTTTTTGTATTTTTGGGATATCACCCACTGCATTCTCCATGTTCCTTGTGGAATGATGACCCTACCCTGTTCGACGTAGCCACTATCACAAGGCTCAAACCAACAGGCAATACATACGACCCTGAGTATATGTCTGAAGATAGCATCAACTTCGCCACTTCTAGGGCAGCGTATTTGACTCATATTGCGTATTATCATGAAAAAGATGTCGATTATGTATCTAATGTGGAACATATAGCTTTCCTAGCGTTATCGTTATCCCGTTGTGTCTTTTACTCGAAATCGCTTCAAGTAGCTAGAAAGTTTTTAACCATGGCGAATCAAATTCACTCCGGCCACAATTTGTGTTTAAGCGAAATAATCTTGGCTAGCCTTTACAAATCCATGAGCGAAAGTGTCACCCAACTAAAAAAAACTAGGGGACAAAGGAAACCTTCTCCTTTCTGGCTTATTTAATTGCGACTGATTGCTTCATTCGAAGCTTGTCTTCCCTACAAAAACCAAATTGATGAAAATGCTGAAGAGGTAAATAACAGAAGGGTCGAAGGACCATGATCGAGACTTGTTTCAATCCCAAGTTTCTGATTCCTTTACAATGACGTCTCTGCTGAATTCAACATTATTAGTTTCTGGACAATATAGCTTGTAAGCACCTGTACTGTGGTATCCCACTAGTAACATTACTTTGTTTCTATCATCCAGATTCTGTCTTCTGGCTTCTGGAACATGTTTGTAGCATACAGAATCAAATACCTTCAGATGGCTAACACTTTACTTACCTCCAATCCACTTCTGAATAGGAACTATTTCCTTCAGCTTCTTTGTTGGATATCTGTTGAGCACATATATTGCGGTGGCAATAACTTCACCCCATAAGGTATGAGGAAGCTTCTCCTTCAGCATGCTTCTCTCCATATCAAGCAAAGTACGATTTCTTCTCTCAGTAAGACCATTGTGTTGAAGAGTATAAGGAGCAGTAACCTCATGCTCAATTCCACTCTCCTCGCAGAACTTTATGAACTCAGTGGAGTTATACTCACCTCCACCATCGATTCTAAGAATCTTTAGAGTCTGGCCACTCTGTTTCTCAATCTGTATTCTGAACTTCATGAATTTAGCAAACACCTAGTGTTTGAACTTTATAAGGGATACTCATGTCATTCTTATGAATTCATCAACAAATGACACAAAGTATTTATTCCCTTCAACCGATGGTATTGGGAATGGACCACACACATCAGAACGTACTACTCCCGAGGCATGCTTTGCTCTTGGAGCTACTTCTGACGCAAATGGAAATCTTGGTTGCTTTTCTTCCATGCACACTTTGCATGACTTCTCAGGATTCTTGATTGTAGGAATTTATTGTACCAGCTTCTTCGAATTCAGATTCCTTAAGCTTATGAAATTCATATGACCGAATCTTCTGTGTCACATCTCACTTTCCTTCACAACACTTGTTGCACTAAGACATTCAAAGTCTGTAATTCTTACATTCACCTTGAATGTTCTATTCCTTCTCTGTTCTGACTCCATAATCAGCTTCTGATTACAATCATACAACTTCAAAAGATTTTCCTTCATGGTAACTGGAAAACCTTTCTCAATTAGTTGTCCCACACTCATCAGATTTCTTTTCATGTCAGGTACATACCATACTTTCTGAATCAATGTTGTTTTCCCATTGTTCAAAACGACTATGACATTTTCCATACCTTCAGCGTTAAAGTATTTATCATCAGCACATCTGATCTTTGTCCTCTTACCAGAGCCAAAGACAACTAGTCATTTCTTATTTCTAGTAAGATGATTTGAGCAGTCAGTGTCCATATACCACCAGT